ATTGTAGCTTGCAAAAGATGATAGTTAAGTTTTCACCTTATACACCAATGCTTGTATGCCGAACAGCTATTTTCGTGGTGGAACATTTATAGGGAATACTCAAGTAATTGCAAGGAAGAGGAGAAAATATGAAAGACAGTGCAAGTGGAGTTGGGAGGGGATGCCACTCTGCTCTGCTCTGCGTCTCCAACGCTAAGGAGCTAAGGAAAAGAACGTTGATTACATGCAATCGCCTCTTTCCAAGTATACCTTTTGACAATGACTGAAACTGTCCTGCAGCCAACACACCCTATTCACCCTCTTGCATATACAGTAGTCAGTGGTCAGTGGTCAACCTACCACATAAGTCTTCTTTGCAACCCACCCCTCACCAGCTTCTTAAACTCAGGCAAAAATGCCATCTACAGGCTCAGTACTGACCATTTGAAGCTGATTCAGACCATCGTAATCAAAAGGCACATGAGTCGCTAGCACTTATCAACTCTATTATACCTACTTGTCCTAGAGATGTGGGCACAACGAAGTGCCCCTCCCAACTATATTTCCACCCATTCCACTATCTCTATCGCAAAATTCTACAATTATTATATTTGGCAGCTTCTGGAACCAAGCGTTCAGTTAGCCAAATCTTTTTGGCTGATTCTTGGAATGGTTGATTCAGCCACACACGCTATGCTCCAGAATGGTCGGTAAAGCTGAATTGGAAATCTGTCGCCCCCCCTCCAAATCTTCACGGGACTTACACATAATTGAAGAGAATACAAGTGCACGGCGTATTCCCAGACTCGCATTAATGCTTGAAAAACTAAAAAAATGTCTTTTTCTTTCCATGCGCGTAGGCAACATAGCGTCATCAGCTTCACTCTTTTAGTTCTCTACTAATTTTTTAGGACTTCTTGAATATATGAATATAAATGCAGCTTCATAAATTTTGTCTAGCCTGGCAATCCAAAAGTACACTCGAGAACTGCGAACTGAGCATGAATTCTCCCCCCCCCCACTAGCACACTGCAAGCATCTGAAATCATACCCGTATTTGCTCAGTGTGTTAGAATAAGCTCTGCATAAATGACCCTGATCCAATTGGACATTGCTCCCTTGTTTGTCCCTGGCCCTTCAGCCACATTCAGCGCACAGATGCTATGAAATCTCTTATGCGCAAACAGCTGACGATCTTCCCTGGCTGGACTCCTAATTAGACCAGTGCCAGTCATAGCGAAGTTTACTTGATAGCGAGACGCGTCCACCTTTATAAGGGGGGGAAATGCGTGTACTCCATGCAAGTGCATATTTACACGCGCGTCGTGTGACCAGGGATCAAATCCTGGGTCGTGAGTCGCCCGGGCCAACCAAGCCTTCCATCCCTCCGGGGTCGGTTAATTGGTACCAGACTTGTCTGGGAGGATAAAAAACACTGACTTGTACATCGGCTGGCCCCCGCAAGTCATTGTATAGGCCACATCGCATTCAAACGCCACTACGAATGTACAAATGGAAGTAGAATGCGTGCCGCATCCCAAAAGGGATTGATCAACGGCAAATGCTTATCCTTTTTTACTTTTATGAGGGTTTCTCAGAGTGCAATGTTGAGTTTATTGCCCCCCCCTCCTTCTCTCCTTTAGCGAGTAAGTTTTTGAGCAAATAAGATAGTATGGAAAAAGATGGCGAGTCGAGTAGAACCTGGAGAGGTAGATAAGTCGACCTCAAGTCCCCTATTGGAAAAGGTCGTATCAGCTCTAGGGACATGGAAGGGGCAGGGAATCTTTCGGCAAAATATCCCCAACATTGACCCTCGGAAAAGGAGAAGAGCGGTGAATGCAGACCACACACTATAAGCGACGACGGCCAATAGAAAAAAAAACCAAGCCTTTTTTGGCCGTCGTAACTTGTTCTGCACCCGACGCCTTCTCGTTTCCCAAATAAGAGGGTAGGTTCACACCCTGCATTTGAAAACCATCCATTAAAAAATCAATATCGATCAAAGCCGCGATGTCAGTGGCTCTATAAAAACTAGAATTGACGGGTTATCGGCTGCAACCCCACTGACAAAAAATTGCTATAATCATTAGTATTTATCAAATTACAGCGAACCGAGCTAGCAAGAACCAGTAAGTCGAGAAAATCATCAATAACAACCTGAAGCAAAGCCACAAAGATACACAGAAATAGCTGACTTGCAAAAATTACAAAAATTATCAAATAATTACTAGCTTTCAATGAGCAAGAAACGTTAACAATTGAAGTGTTATTGCGACAGGAATCAACAAAGCATAAACAATGGCACTATAAATAACCGAACCTTATGAAAAATAACAACATGGTTCAAGGCTTAAATGAAATACTCGTAATAAAAACATCATAAACTTAAAAAGAACGAAGCATTTTTGGGAAACCCGTGCTAAAGCTCATTTAACCGGCGGTTTTGTCTCGTACATATAGGTCCGAGTGGCGGTACGTTCTTTTATTCGAGCCATTTCCTTTCGAAGCAGGGCCAAAACAGCTTCATTTGCATCAGCTCGATGATTCTTGCCACCATCCTTCACCCGTTCCCAGCGCTTTTTTTCTACCGGCTTTTCCGCCTTTCGTAGTAGTTTCTTGTAACGCTTGGTAGCTTTCTCAACCAATGATCGCAACTTGCTTGAACGGCGATTGGCCATTTTATATTGCTCAGTCAGTTTGGACCACTTAGACGATGCCGAACGCGATTTTTCTCTATCTGACCGAGAAGCTGCTCGATCGGCAGCTCTTTTCGCTTTTTCGACCTTCAATTTCAGCTTCTCAGACAGCTCTTTCGCTTCAAAAGCCTTTTCTTTCAATTTCTCAGCTCGCACTCGAGCCCGTTCGGCCTTCTCTCGAGCACGAACTGCTGCTGACTTAGCACTATCCGAATTTGCACTGGAGCCTGCATGACCCTTTGACTTGCCAGACTTCTTCGTGTCACTCAACACTTTCGTTTGGTTTTGCAGCTGGACAAGCTGAAAAAGATTCACTTGACTGCAGAACTGTGACAAGGATATATTTTTAGAAAAAAAAGAGAAAGTAGAAAAAGCCCATTTCTCTCACTGCGTCAGAACTCGCCCATTTCTTATGTGGTCCCCAGTGAAGATTAAAAAACTCAAAGCGAAGAATATGTTTTGCAAATCGAGAATTAGCTTGCAAACAAAGCTGTTAAAATTATTACTCAAGGAGAAAAAGTAAGAAGAGGCTCTAACACCCCAATAACATCCTAAAGTTCCTTTCTGAAAAACGATACATTAATGCCATTTAACCCCCCTTAATGTTCATGGGAAGTAATGATTCGAAATTTTGCAGCAAAAAGCCTCTCAAGTATGTACTGAAAATTGGAAGGAACTCACAACTGATAAAGGGAGGAATACCCGGGGGATGCTCTTGAAGCTCCCACTGGGTCGGGTTGAGAGTTAGAAAATGCTTGTCACCCGACAAATTACCGTCAAATTAGCCTTACAGCGGGAATTGACGCTCAAAAACAAGGTAGACATGAAGCCTGCCTGATTTCAAAGCTTTTACGCCACTCCACCCCCCCCCCTCCTTCAGTGGTTAATGGTATCGTGATATGTGGTCTCGTTGAACGCTGGTTTCAGGTCCTGGTAAGACGTCGCACACTCTTCCAAAGTCCATCTGAATCTCTGAAGTCCTCAAATTGAACAGAAAAGGGGACCAAAGTGTCCAAGTCCCTCGAGACTTAGAAAATGCGCAAATTGCGAAAAGTCTTTTCGAAATCCTTCTGAATCCGTGGGAAAAATAGTTTCGCAATTCCCAGTAGTAAATTTCTTTCCCGTTTTCTTTTACCCAGAAAGCCATTTCCTACAAAATGTCGCCCATTCACCTTCGCCTGACTTGCAATGGGTTGACCCTACCCATTTCTTCAAATTGAGTTTAGCTACATCATTTATAAACGTGGGCTACACAACGACTAGAACGAACTGAATGCATTATTTTCAAAATCTGGAAATCGATAGTATTCTGTTCTCCGCTATGAAAGCTGATGGAGAAATTGTACTACTCTAAATCCATTAATAAGAATGACTTGAAATGTCACAAAAAAGCGAACCAAACACTAATATTCTTCGGTCATGATAAATTTTTTTGACTTGACAAAAACCACCAACAAAAACAATACCTACCTAAATTTACCTATCCAACTGTAAAAGCAAGTAGGCCAGTATTTATTATTTAAGCGACACTAAGGAGTAGCACAGGCCAATGTTATTTTTATCGAACCATATCTATCTCAAAAAAGCTTTAGAGTATATTGCAACAGGAATATCACCCTGTATACGGTAGGGTTCAAGGGGTAAACGACTACGGATCCTAACCAACTGGCTTTAGTTCCAAAACACATGCGCCGCGGCTGGTGATTTCTCTGCATATCCGCGCATTGAAATGTATGCCAGTACCCCCGATTCCTAACCAAGCCACCCTTCATTAAACCCTGGAAACCTGCGCCTGTGCTAAACAATTGTTTGTCCTTTACTATCGGCGACCGAGGCGCAACTCGAATCAGGTGCGCTATGGCTCATCTATAAAATTGAACAAGAAGTGCTATGAGCAACGTCGGCGGGGAAAAAAGCAAAAAGCATCAAAGAAAACACTGCATTTTTTCCTGTGATGGTTGACCATGAAGCAACAGAGATACACAGCGCTGCGAGGAAAGGGAAAACACGAGAGCACGTCGCCTGCGAGAGGGCGCAGACATCACGTATGCTGCGATTGATAAGAATGGCAGCGATCGCAGCGGTAAGTGAAGGCATTAGCCCTTGTCTCGCATTATACTGCCAGGTTGCGAACCCATGCCTTTAAACTCGCGAACGATCATTACGGCCAAGCAAACGTCCTCCCACTGCACACGCTCTCTAAAACAGTTGACAAGAAAAAGGTGTGAGTTATCTCAAAAATTTCGGCAATGAAAGACTGAAAGGTAACGAGTACTGGGGAAAATGTGAAATACAATCCAATTCTTCTACTGACAGGCACTCATGTCAAATCTCTACAAATATGTGTCACAACCCCAATCAATCACCAGGCGTTCTGACATCAGTGGGAACTAGCAGAGGTCTGCGGAGCGCGGGGAGCGTCTCAAACATTTCAACGCCTGAATTGTCGCTCCTGCTGAAGTGCAATTGTCGCTCACTCTGCTTCTTCGTTCCAATAAATTTTTGCCTCCCAAAGTAAAAGCCTTACGTCCCCACAAGAAAGGAGGTCTGGGAGTTCAGAGCATGTTCTGGCTCTCTTCACAACTGGTTATCAATCCCGTTTACCATCTTTTATCGGTTTTTTTGGGCTCACGTTCCCTTTTTTATCATACTGACGACAACCCACTGTGCGTGTTCCACGGCTTCTTTTTTTATATTCTTCCAAAACCAACCTTCCCCTTTCAATAATTTCGTGACTGGTGATGTGTAGTATTTTC